TAACTTAATTTATAAAATAATTTCGAAAATAACATAAAATAATTACCAAAAATAATTAGTCAAATAATTATATTAATTTTGCTATTTCTTAAAAAACTGAATAGTAAACCAAAGTAGAACTTCTCAATACAGTTAATAAATACAGTTATTCATTACATATAAAAAAATCTAAATATTACTTATTTAAATATTAAAATTTATACAACTTAAAGAGAAAATAAAAAATTAATTTTTTAGAGTACAAACAAAAATTATATAATATGCTGAAGTTAAATTATTTATTTTGTTAAAAATATAAAAAATGTATGATGAAAATTTATAACGTGTTAACCGTTTACATGTTGAGAAATCTATTTAATATTATAAAATATAAATTAATATTTCTAAAAATTATGAATATGTTTACAACATAATTATTATATTTACGAATACAAATAATTAAATAGCTAATAAGATAACATAATTATACGAAAACATAAATACTAAATTAAAAATTATATTTTAAATAATAAAATAATGGTACCCAATTAATTTTTTTGTTTTAAATTATTTTAAAGCTAAATTAAATTATTAATACAGACTCGCGCGTAGCGCGAGTATAAAATCTAGTGGTTACAAGGAGTCACTAGTCACAACTTCTCCCCCACAATTAGGTGCAGTTGACTTGTTTCCAGATTTTGCTTACCCTTGTTTTCTTTTTCTTTACCAAGTTTTGTTACTGTGTTTTTGATATGCAGCTGCAGACTGTAGTGAGGAAAATCAAGAACTTGTGCATCCTGCCAGTACACCACCTCATCATCCTCAACTTGTTAGTCATACAGTTGTAAGTTTCCAATATATATCATTATGATCTAGCTGATAATCTTTCATTATGTTACTTACAGTTTTGATTATAAATCGTGCAGGTACGTACATCCTGAAATCCATATTATGCTGGAATGATGGGAGCCTATCCTTCGGTATATGACTTCATTTCCAATGTTTTTTTGTTGCTTTCCTTAATCTCCCAACAATTTTTCTATGCTAAGACTATTGGATTTGATCATGTGACACGACTTGCCATGATTTGTTATTTGCTGTGAGGCATATGAGATTACAAGTTTTAATATATTATTAGTTGTAGCATGTTTTAAGGTTGTTAACAGAGTTCATGGTGTGAGTATTTTTTGACTAGTTAAGATGCATTTAATTAGTTAACTTTTTAATTAGTTAACAGTTCAACAAGATTTATTCTCCTTCATGTCACGCTATGATAAGCTATCACTTTCCCTAATCAGACTTATGTTCCATATGGTGGGATGCCTCATTGAAGAAGACTTATTTTTGGATTTACTCCCTATGGTGAACCATCTAATAGAATTACATCATTTCATATATGATACCTTTCTAAAAAGAAAACAAAATCTTATTATATTATGTTTTTAAAAATAAAAGTACAAAAAAAAAATTAATAAAAACGCAAATAATTATTTTAAAAAAATATAAAACACTAAACTCTAAAGTCTAATCCTAGGTAAATCACAAACCTTTGGATAAATCTATAAAAAAATTAGTGTTTATGAATTATCCAAGGGTTTAGGGTTTAGGATTAGAGTTTAGAGTTTAGTGTTTATGATTTACCCAAGGGTTTAGGGTTTAGGATTAGAGTTTAGGTTTTAGTGTTTATGATTTATCCAAAGGTTTAGGGTTTAGGATTAGAGTTTACAGTTTAGTGTTTAGTGTTTTAGTGAAGAATGCAACTGCCTCCTGAGATGGCACAAGAACCAGTTTACGTGAATGCTAAACAGTACCAGGCCATTATGAGGCGAAATCAGGCACGCGCCAAGGCAGAGCTAAGAAGCTTATCAAATCCAGAAAGGTGAAATTGCGTGGTTATCATCATGAATACTATTATTAGTTTTTTGAGAGCTCTGATCTAATTGTCAACACATCATCGTTTTCTGTGTTCTCCACAGCCTTATCTCCATGAATCTCGGCATCAGCATGCTCTGAGGAGGCCTAGGGGTACTGGAGGACGGTTTGCAAAGAAAACAAACACAGAAGCTTCACAACAAAAATGTGGAGAAAAGAGCAATGCTTGTGCTACTCAGTCCCCTACGTCATCTAATTCTGATCAACCTGAAGCTTGGAATGATGAGTATAATACACATCAGTCCGGAGAGATGCAGAGCTCAGCTTATAAGAGAAGGGAAGAAGCAGACTGTTCCTTCTCAAGCTCATTTAGCTATCAAGTGACCTCTACGGCAGGCAAATCATTCTTGGCTCTCTCTTTTTTGGCTTATTAGGTAGCAGTCATTGAAGAGTTTTCTCAGTTTCTTTTTGTTGTTTTGTACAAATACAAAAAAAAAAAAAAACGTTTCTACTAAATTTCAGTGCGGCCAAACGAAAAAAAAAGTAATGTACCACAAAACCTTTAAGACCTTGTAAGGGCTTTTATTACCTATTCTCGGTCGCATAGGCTGAGTGGCTGAGTTGGTCAAGTCGTCAGCTTCCTCCTCGCCTTGAGTTTCGTCTAGGTCGTCGGCCTATTCAGTATGTCAGGACCGCTGCATGTGAGGAGTTGTTAGTCGCCTCTGTGATGTTGTTCACAGGTGGCTGATTCTCCATTAAACCAGAGAGTGCTAGCTTTGGTGACCACTCAAAGGCATCATCAATGATGTTTGGCATCTTTCTTTGGTACCTGGATGCACAAAAGGTCATCACAAGTCAACCAGAGAACTCATATTATATAGCACTTAGAGAGAACAATCTTCTCTTGAGGAGAGGATATTTTAAGTTGTATACCTGGCCCGAGCAACCTCATCAGGGGCATGGCGCCTGAGCAGCATGACAACAACAAGAGCCACTACTGTGTAGAAAAGTCGAGATGTCCACTTAGGAGGTTCTTCGTCTTTGTTTGGCCAGAAACGGAACAGTTCCTTCAAGAATGTTGGGGAAAAACATACACGCTTTCCAATAAGAATCCACATAGCACCAAAAGCAACTACTCTCACTGCAACATTCATGGTAATGAAGAATGCCCGCACATGAGTAGAGAACAATGAGTTTGCAACGGTGTGGGTACACAGAAAACAAACAGACTGCGAGAGTTAACACATGCCAGAAGAAGGACAAAAGTGTTTGCCATAGTAGATGCCGTTTCTCAAACGTCCATGCAAAAACGGGATCAGATTTAGAGACAGCTTGATCATCCTGCATTAGAAATAGCAAAAGAAATCAACACCTTGAAATATTTGAGCTATTGAATGCATATCTTACCCAAAAAGAACGCAAGGGGATTTGATGGTGAAAAGTATCAAGAAGTGGAAGATATCTCTAGACATAAGATGATAGTCCAACATGTCCAATAGCAATAGTATAGTCTCTAGAAGCTTAGCATATGAACCAACACCGAGGCCGGATCTGGGACAGTCCAATGAAACACTAGTTTTGGCTCCCCCAAAATTTTGAAAGTTTTTTATTTAGACATAAGCCTCCAAATTATAGAAAAAGTTATTTTGACTAAGCTTCTTTAGAAATCATAGCCCAACAAAATTTTAAATCCATCCCTGAGTCCTGACCAACACCAAAACCAACTTACATGGAAAATCTCAAGATGAGCTGGCTAAGTAGACAGCTTTTTCTTCCCGGGATGAAGGGGTTTGGTAACACGATCACATCTAACCAAAAGGTTCTTTCCAAACGACACTCAGGGTGGTTCTTCATGAAGCTCACAAATGCTTTCCCTCTAAATTATTCAACTCGTGCTTGCTCCATAACAGCCCATCTTGATTCCAGTCCCTTCTTGTCTCTAACTTTCTCAGCAAATAAATGAAACATATCCTTGTTCACAGATTGCTTCTAGAAAAACAAAACAATGTTTGACATTCAGACAGAGGAATACACACATGTCTGCATACTCAAAGTGATGATTGTTTGCACTAGTTTTTAGATTTTGGTTTTAGATTTTTGTTTTTGGTTTTTGATTTTGGCTTTTTATTTTTGGTTTTCAGCTTTTGGTTTTAGTTTTTAGATTTGATTTTGGTTTTTGGTTTTGCTGTAGTTTTTAAATTTCTTGAAAAAAAAGTAATACATTATTTTAAAATAATACAGCAAAATAGAAATAAAACATTTAAAAGCTACTATTAAAATATAATGATTATTATTTAATAATACAAAATACATTAACATGTTTTAATTATTATATATTTTAAGAAACTTATATTATACTAAATTATAAATCATAAAATAACTATAAACTATACAATATTTAAAATATTAAAATATGAAAATTATTTATAAAAAAATTGTATGTAATTTAAATTATAAAATTTGAATGGAATTTTTCCTTTTTCAAATGAATATAATATATTTTATTAATGAAATTTTATGTTGTTATAATTTAAGTTATTGTTTAATAAGTCTAATTATTATTAAATAATTAAATAATTTTATGTATAGAAATGAATAACCAATTTCAATTATTTAATATTATATATAAGTATATAAATTTATTTTGACATGCAACATAAATAAATGATTAAACATTATTGCTTAAATGTTATCTTTTGTACCAAAATTTTATTAGACTTTTATCTTTATAAAGTATTATTATTTAATTATTAGCTAGTTAAAATGTACCACTTTCTAATGAAAATTAAAAAAAAAAATCGTTTTTATTCCTAAAAACCAACAAAAATGAGTTTTTGGTTTCTCTTCATAAATTGATTAAAATTTTCAAAAACCAGTTTCCCTAAAATTTAGGGAATCTATTTATTAAAAAACTTGATTGGCAAAAAATTGGTTTTTACAAAAACTATAAAAAAAAAAACCAAAATCTTGATTGTGTAAAAACTAGTTTTTGAAAAAACAAAAACCAAAAACTAATTCAAAAACTACAAACAATCATCACCTCATATAGAATTTAGCAAACAATAATGATGAACGAAACAGATCAAATGAAGGGTCAAGTAACCTAAGAACAAGCACAATGAGATAAGATAGTAAACCCTAGGTGGAGCATCGGAACCGGAATCTGTAGTGGCGGTGGATGATGATCGTTTAACCCTCTTCTTTTCGGCTCCAACCGGCTTCTTCATCTCCCTCTTCTTTCCAAACAAGAAGGATAGTGTTTTTTCGTTTTTTACAGTTCCAAAGTTATTTTGTTATTGTAGAAGCCGGAAAACCGGATCGACATAAACGATATAAGAAAGACGGAGTTAAGGAAATAAACGATTATATAAGACATGGATGCGAGATAAATATCTTTCCTTAACTCTTAATATTCGCTCCGTAGTGAGCCGAAACTGTACGAATATCGAGTCGCAGGATACAACCATGGCAGACGAATCACGCTTCACTCGTGAAACAACCTAACGAACTAAAATTCTACGAACACTCTGTTAAAACTTACGCTGAGAGAATGCTGGATTTTTTCTGTGTAAAAAACCGTAAAGAATGAAGAAGAGAAGCGAGTTTATTTAAAGAGAAAGACGAGAGCCACTTCCCGCAACAACTGCTTCACGTGGGCGAAAATCTCGCACAGATTGAGGGAAGTTGAGTTGCGAAATCGTTTTCCGCAAGACTCTCTCTCTTTTCTCGTTTAAATATTTTAGAGGATAAACTGCGTGCCGTTTTTTTTATTTGTTAGACCAGCTACTTGTAGTTTTAAATAAAATTGCATGCTGTTTTTTGAAATTTAAATGGCAAAGCGTTAAGGTTAACTTGGTCCAAAAAAGTAATTTCTTATCGGACCAAAGGCCCTCCACCCGAGCCGAGCCGGCCGGATTGTGGCGGCGCGCGCGTGGGGAGTCCTCTCTTCCACTGAGCTGTTTAACCCATGGTGTCATGATGGGAACATATATATATAACTCATCTCCTCTCTAACTCCCCTATGTGGGATATTTGATAATTTTGTCACTTACACAAAATTATAGTGTTTATGAAAACACTATGCTACCAACTTCATTGCATCATTTTTTATTCAATTTTGATATGTTTTTAAGGTGTGAATATACATTGTTGTAGCACTCATTACAAGATTTCCAACGAGCTGATGATCTGACCGGAACGACCACTGGTTTGGCCGGAAAATAAAAAAATGATCAGCTTTTAAAAAACAGAGATCCAACAGTTATAACATAAAATTCTTTGGTTTTCTGTAAACTGGTCTAAGAGCATGTTTATTGGGGTAGTTTAAGAGGATTGCTTAGGGATTTTTTAAACATGGACCCCATAAAATAGTTAAGCAACATTGCTTAAATTGCTTAATTAAACAACTCATTTTGGCTGTTGTTTGCATTGTTCGCGGGCTCCACCGACACGTGGTGACCCGCGATTGATTCATTATTAATTTTTTTTTTTTAAAACCAAAAAAAAAATTTAAACAACCCATTTTAAAATCCTTCCAATAAACATGCTCTAAGAATCTAAATCAAACCGAAGATACGGTTAATTATACAAGTGTATTTAGGATAGCGTCACCTACACTCTATTTTCTATCTTAAACTCTATTATAGAGTAAAATAATCACTAACCATATTTTGATACCTCTTAGCAGGTTCTTCAGAGAATGGTGGAGAAGAATGTTCGAAACAAACTCAGTCTCATGGCCAAGAATGGAGTAAAGAAGTTTCAGAGTACTCCAATTTTTCGGTTTGGTAGTATTGAAACTACGTTATTTATTGTTTTCCTCGTAAAGTCGACGTAAAACATTACTACGAAATTAGGAGGAAATTTTCGTTTACTTCTAATTAACGAGGAACTGGCTAGAAAACTTCTATTTGAAATCTAAAAACGTGTTTTGTACCTATTTTTCCTCGCAAGTTTCTAGTAAATGTTCACCTATACCAGATTCAAAAATTTCTCTGTTGATATTCTTTTATCTATTGGCGACCCGCGATTGATGCATGTGTATTTAGGTTATCGTCAACTACACTCTATATTCTATCTTAAACTCTATTATAGAGTCAAATAATCACTAACCATATTTTAATACCTCTTGGCAGGTTCTTCAGAGAATGGTGGAGAAGAATGTTCGAAACAAACTCAGTCTCATGGCCAAGAATGGAGTAAAGAAGTTTCAGAGTACTCCAATTTTTTGGTTTGGTAGTATTGAAACAATTTCATAGAGTATGTATGATAATCTTACATATTTCGATTTCACTATTGCACTTGATTTAAAAAGTTTGTTGATGAATATTAATTTAACATTCATTTAGAAAAAAAAAAAAGATTGAAATGAGAGATAGACACTGAATATGTCTTTGTGTAATTGTTCATTTCAATCATTCACCCCATTTGATTCAGTGTGGGCAGGCTTGAATGTCTAGCATTACAATCTTGAGAATACCACTACAAAGATCTTTCTCTCCCTTCATTTTAGAAATTTGATTAGCATAAACTTCTATGAGAAAAACAGATAAATGAATTAATTAATAATAAGTAAACAAAAAAAAAAAGCAAATTACCAGAAAATGGGTTTTATGTTAGCATTATTATTTCCTAGTTTCTACAAACAAAAACAAATGTGGGATAAATTTATTTCTGGGTCTAAATATATAAATGAATGTTCCTCAGTCATGAATTTCTCTCCTTGTTTCCTCAATTCTCTTTAGCACTCCCTTCACAGCAATATCAAAAGCATCTTCACAAGTCTCTCCATCCGGTTTGTGTCGGTTTGGTTTAGTGTACACAATCTTAGGAACCAGCCTTATTACATTTTCTCTCATATCAACCACTTTTTCATTCGGTATTCCACGCAAAATCTCTTCGATTTTGTTCTTTCCCCCGTGTCTCAGCTCTTTAAACGGAATATAAACCGAGTATTCGCTACTGTTTATTTGTATGTGCCATAAATATTGATTGTGTGCACTTCCTTGGTTGAAGAAAACCGGAATACAACCAGCCAAAATTGAATCGAATATCGATCTTCTGGTTAATGAATCACCTGGCGGTTGTAAGCAGAAAATTGAGCTCTGGAAAATCTTAATCAAACTGATCGGATCATTGCAGAGGTCGGCTTTAACGTTGCAGTCAATAAACCTACACGTTTTGGAAGAATTCTTGCATTGTTGGATAATTTGAGTGCGGACCAAACCATTCTCATTTACACTCGGTCTTTGAGCTCCAGCGAATGAGAAGAGTACCGTTCGGTTTGTGAGCTTGATCTTATCTTGCCACTGGCGAACCTCGACGGCTGAAGTCGGGTGAAAGTAGGTTGGATAAGGAATAGCAAAATCGTTATGGCTCATTGGACTTCGTTCAATGGTGAGGAAAGCGAGGTTCTGCGATTCTGGTAAAAGCATTAAGTTGGTTCCCCATCTGGAGTTATCACTGGAGTATCGCTGGAAATCTTGTGAAATCCGACCGGATACGAGAAAATGGTCTTTACCTAACATACCTGGATTTTCAGTTTAACAATTAATATTGTAGTTATGTGTCAAAACAAATAATTGTCCGACAACATTGAGAGTGAGTAACGTTGGTAGCCCATTATGTCACACGTACAACATTATAAAACGTTCAATATTATTAACTCTTTTTTGAAAATCAACATAAATAATACTAGTTATTTAAAAAATAATTGTCACTATACATGCAATATGTTACACAGCCACATATCTGAACAAAATAATGTTATTGATGATTATACGATCTATATATATACCACATGAGAACATCCTTTAACTAATGCTCCATCTGTATATGAATAGTTGATATTTAAAATAGTACCAAAATATTATTAATAAAATGCACATAAGTTCTATCATAATTTGAAAAATAACAAGTTAAATCATCAAAATTAAGTTTATTGATAATTATACAAAAATTGTTTTGTTGATATATGTATCTCTGTTAAAATTTATTAATTTTAGATGTTAAAAAGTTATTTTTAAAAAAATTTGATGATTTGGAATAGTATGTATTTTATAAAAAAAAATTTAATATTTTTTATCATCGATATATAAAATAGCAATATGTTTTTAACAGATAATAAATAAAAATTCACCTATATACAAAAACTAAAAGACATGGATTTCTATTTTGGTTTGAAATATGTAAAATTAAAAGCCAAAAAATTAAAATCATATAAACAATTAGCACCATAGTTTATGAAATCTGATTTCCATGTTAAGGTATTTTCTCATGAGTTACAATAAGATTAAATTTGAATTATGAGTATAATTCAAAATGTTACCTATCATGAGTTAGTATATGTTTTGTGTTTGTGTCTGAATTACATGGTGTTATAATCAAGTTATGATTTTGAGTTATTTCCTTTATAAAATTCATATATTGGAAATTAAGTTTAGTATTTTTTTTTGTTTCCTAATGATTATCTTGCAGTTACCTTCTGATTTTAACAATTTTTTTAACACATGCCATGATTGTCTCACATTGCTTCTGGTCGATTAATAAATCTTTTTTCAAAAAATTGTATAGGTATATCTTGTAGTTAGTAAAATTTTTTACAAAATCTCTTATTTTTATTTAAACTGTTTAAGAAAAAATATTCTTTTAGTTTTGATTGTAAATTCTATTTGGTGATTCAAAGTTATACATACATAAAACTAGATCTAATACATAGATATCCTTTTTAATAATATATACATATGTTTAAGTATATTTTATTAATTTTAAGTAATATATTTATTTTCTTTAATCTCTTTTATTAGATTTATAATAAATATTCTTATTATAATTAACATTTATAAATTTTTCTTTTATATAATGTATAATACACTTTACAGTATACATCAAACTGTTATCAAGTTGAGAAAATGTAAATAACATGTTTACAACGACATAAACTTACAGTTTTCATCACATAATTTTTATTTCAATTTATATTGAATAAACTTTACTTTATATGAATTAATAAAATCAAGTGTTATATAAAATCTTTTTATTTTAATTCAGTTCTAATACAGAACCACATATTTCATTTTTTTGAACTATATTTCAAAAATCCTGATTGGTAGATAAATTGTTTTCTAAAAACAAAAATCAAAAACTGCTTTAGAAACCTGAGACATTCAGCACCAAAATCAAATTAGTAACTAATAATAATTGCAATTAATGAAAACATCCCAACATTATAAGGGTCAAAAAATTAATAAATACACGAGGGCGTACCTTTCCACTGGGGTTGCTTTTTGAGCCATTTAAACATTTCCTTCCCAGCGGCATCTCTTTCAGCGACGTTACGCCGCCACATATTTCGCCGTAAATCTAGACCAGCGTAGTAAGGTACGTAAATAGCCGAAGCCCGGGACGAGTTTCTCGTCAAACACTCGTATCTCTTCATCTTCTCGTGAAAAATCACTTCAAGCATGAACTGATTAGTCGCGTACCAGCTCGAAGAGTACTTAGAATCAGTGGAAACACCATCACCGACCTGAGGTCCGAATCCGGAGTTCTCAATGTACTTACACATGCTGGTTTTATCTTTCGGTCTTGAAATCGCCTCGCAGTCTTGGAGGATGTCTATGTTGAATCGAGAAGGTAGATTATGGATATATATGTACCGGCCTAGGCATGAATCGTCTCCAAGTCTGGAGAATTTGTGACGGTTGTCATGATCGGGCTTGGAGATAGTAATGGTGGTGGTGCTGATGAGAATGATTTTGTTTTGGGAGAGATAAAGGAGAAGCATAGAGTTGGTGAGGAGGAGACAAAGGATAAGTAAGAGGGTGGTTGGTTTCTATTCGATTGAACTTGATGAATAATCGTTGTTGTTTTTGTTCATCTTCTTTGTTGTGGATGTTGTGTGGTGTCTTGATTTGACGATCCATGTCGAATATAGAGAGAGGAAAAAAGAAAGGTCAAAGACTACACGCAAATAACGATGTATTATTATATTTGTATATAGCTGTGATCATCAAAAAATATTTTCATCTGTGACACAATGGCTAAGCTTGTGATTATCAAATAGAATTATTAAGTTTCATTTACATTCGTGATATTTAAGAATGTTTTGTATATTTATAATCATATATACATAGGATATCTGGGTGGAAAGATAGTTGTCTCAGAAATCAATAATATACATAGGGCCGGCTTATTTATTTATACAAACTTTCTTATCAAATGTTTGCCATCGTGCTTTGCATGGTTACTCTTTGCAAAACACCTCTCAAAATATTGGTTAGTTAGCTAGTTAACCTTTAATTCAATCAATTAAAGAATTATTTTCAACCTTCTTTAAGAAATAGCCAAAGGCTGGCGACGAAATTTACACTGCTTGATTTGTGGCATTATTTGACATAAAATGTCTAGCTTAACTCAGACAATGAGTTTGACACGAGACTCGACCGGCTTGATATCAATCTCTCGCAGCTCTAGTGGATCCCCAGCTCCGGCACTGTCATATATGCCGTTGCCTCCCTCTCACCGTCTATCGATCACTACAAGAAAACTAAGCATTTACTAGGAAACTTTACTAGGAAAATAATTCCTCGTAAAATTACTACGAGTTTACTTCGAGTTTACGAGGAAACATGGTTTCCTCGTAAGGTTCTCGTATACTTACGAGAAAACAATTTCCTCGTAAAGTCGTAGTAACATTACTAGGACTTTACGAGGAAAAAAACGCGGGAATA